TTGCACAAACAAATCCTCAGACAAACAAACTCTTAACTAGACAGTCTCTACAAGAAAGAATTAATGGACACAGATATCCAAAAAAGCAACACACAGAAACCTGTTGGAGGACACTTTGACCTGCTGAGGCACTCACTAATGGATCTCAAAGTCACCATGTTGTTTCAGATCAATTCCACAAGCCAAATACACAGGGATTCACTGGAAATTAACTTCATTTACAAGTTTGGGAGCCATCACAAAGGTATGAATAAAGACATTACCTGGCTAGCACACTATCTTCCACATCCTAATAACTTGATCAACCAAATGATGGGTACTTAATAACAATTTAAACCTTCTCTATCAGTTTCCTGTAACATGAACACTCTAATTCACTATTTTCCCCCTTCCTTTTCACCCTCATTCTCTATTTATTTTGGAACTGGACTTTTAATACTCCATTCATTTGAAGAATTGGGTTGTACTCACAAATGCTCATGATACCATCTACATGGTTTGTTAGTCTTTAAGGTGCTGCTAAACTATTCATTGCTCTTTTTCCAGTTACAGATTAACTTGGCTACCCCTCTGAAGTTCTTCAAATTATATAATAGATGTGCTACACTGGATCATGTAGCCTCAGAAATAAATACTTTGGGGGAGGGGGGAAAGAGCAAAATATTTTGTTTTATTGAAACACTGCCCCAAACTTATTCATTGAAACAAGCTTTGTGAATGAGAAGAGATACATGTAGAGATAAAATGCCACTTTTAAACAAGAACATCTGAGGCTGTGCCAGTGCCTTAGGAATACAGAAAAGGGGAAAACACAATAGGCACTAAGGATATCAAGTTTAAAAATGGCTGCCACTCTGGTTACTTCCTCCATATTCTGTAACAAAAAGTTGTCCTCAGTATATTCCAAGAACTTATTGACAATTTTGTGTTATGCTGTATTACTTTCTCAACAGATGTCTGTGTATTTAAAGCTCCTTTTCCTCCATTAGTACCATGTTCTGTATTTTTGATAGTTATTTTGCTTGTTTTAGCAATGCTGCATATTCTGCCTCATTCTGATTTGGTGGTCTATGACAACACCCATATTTTTAAACTCTGTTAGCTTCACTCAACTGGTCTGCCTTCCACTTCCTTCTGGTCCTCAGAACAAGTCTATACACATATGCGTCATGCAATACCTTCTCTTTCCCCCACTGCCTATTCTTTCTGAACAAGCTATATTCCTCTCCACCAATATCCCAGGTATGATACTTAGCCCACCAAATCTGCGATGCCCATTAAATAATAATTTAGCTTATATATTAGGAAAATGTGCGTGCATAACAGGTTGAGAGCTGCACTCAAAAGAATGGTTATCAATGGTTTGCTGTCACACTCGGAGACCCCTGACTGGTAGTCATGCCTAGCGGGACCCTGCGTGGGAGTTAGGCCTGAGACCAATAATATTCAATATTTTCATTATTGGCTTGGATAATGGAGTAGAGAATATGTTTATACAATTTGAAGAGGATACCTAGCTGGGAGGGAGTGTGAGGACAGGTTTAAAATTCCAAATGCCCTTCACAAATTGGAGAACTTATCTGAATTTAACAAAATGAAATTAAGTGAAAATAAGTGCAAAATAGTACACTTAGGAAGGAAAAATAAAATGCACAGATACAAAATGGGGATGAACAATTTAGGTGATAGCACTGTTGAAAAGGATCTGGGGGTTCCAATGGACCAGAAACTGAATATGACTTGTCCATATAATGCAACTTTTAAAGAAGGCTTTTATTAACAGGCCTGCTGTATGGAAGACACAGAAAGAGCCCAGATGAGAACAACAAAAAGGATAAAAGGTTTAGAAAACTTGACCATTGATGAAAGGTTATAATATATGGGGTATGTTTATTCTTGAGAAAAAAAGATTGTGGGTCACTAGGTTGAGGTCAATAGGATTCTCCATATGCTTAAAGTGAAGCAAGTATGCCCAGGATCAGGGCATAATTTTCAAATAGTTCTTGAGTGTTATTTACCCCTTCCCACCCATCCTTTCTCCTCCTCACCAAGCTAAATTATCTATTCTGATCTAGGTTGTGCAATCTTTACTTATAGTGGTGAATGATTGCTCCTAGGAGGAGCTCAAAGGACTTCTTGGGTGAGTAAGTGCTTGTCAGTGTAATCAGGAGCTGTACAGTCAGCCAATTGCCCCCTTTAATCTTTTTTCATAAATCAACCTCTAGCTTCCTAATTCATTTTTGTGGCTCACTGTGAATTCAGCTAGATAAACCTTACAGGTTGTTTATCTTCACTGTGTTGTGACAAATGGAAATCCTCATGCACAAAGCTAGTGAATTCTTTGTTTTCACTTAAGGTCACTGAGGGTACATCTACACTACAGAGGAAGATCGAAGCTATGGCTGTTGATCTTCCAGGGTTTGAATTAGTGGAGTAAGGGAAGTGTTCTTCCTTCAATTTCCCATAGTGTGGACAGCACCAAAAGTTGAGTTAAGGTACTTCGACTTCAGCTATGCAGTTAGTGTAGCTGAAGTCGCATAGCTTAATTCGACTTTGTCCGGCAGTGTAGACATACCCTCAGTGCAAATTTAAAAAATGCCTGACCTTAGTACACATACCAGACAGCAGGGCTTTTGTATCAAAACTTTATTTATTAAACAAAAAATGCACCATTGGAATAACATTTCTATAAAAAATGAATATGAGACTGTTCTACAGTGCATTACAAAACCCCCTTTTTCTTCATGTAGTAGTATACAAGATTGTGTGTAGAAACAGTCATTTATTTTTAAATTGTAAGCAAGTTTCCTTTCGCATAGAACAAGATTTACACTTAAATATTGCAATCACTAGTCTAATTTGGTTAACAATGCTAGAATTTGACAATTTAAAGAAACTGTTCATCGTCTCAAAATGCCATTTTTAGGCCTTTTGTAACAACAAGATTTTTTTAAAACTAAGGCTAGTTAAAGCTGTAGTGTAACCCTTTTCTACCACATTAAGATATCACTAGTAGGCTAAGAATTCACTTGAATTACCCTGCAAAGCCCTTTAAATGAAGAGATATTACTGTTTTCTTCAATGTTGTAATAATTAACAACTACTGTCAGTGTTTCACAGTAGCCATCTTTTGTGAGAACTCAAGTGGCAGATGCTAGTGAATATTTAGCAAGATAGCCAGTTATTCTTGAGTATTTTTACACTTAGGAATGAATAATAGAGTTTCAAAGCATAGCACACTGAGATATGGGACACCACAGCTTTAATAGCCAGCTCTAGGGTTCCAACCAAATCTCCCTTTTATCATAAATTATCCAAAAGAAAACACTCTAAATAATAAATTAAATATTACTTATAAAAAGTTCACCCTTCCCCTCCCCCCAGCCCTCCCATCCTACACATGGTGACAATTCACAAATGTAGGAACTGCCAGGTATATTTTACAATAATAAAAACAGCAGTTTTTCCTTCTTCTACCTACATTGCTTTCTTCCACTTCAAAATACATGTACAGCATACAGTGAGAGACATTGGTCTGTGCCACTTAAAAAAAAGTCAGAATGACGATGCTTAAAATGCAGTCTGCTGAGATCTGAAAAGAGGGACTCAGCAAATTCAATTTGAAATCAGACAGGACACATGCTGGCCAAAAGAGAGACAAGCCAAACAGATAAGAAAAATAATCTCTGATCACTTTCAGTAGTTTGTGGTTTTGCTAATAAGCAACTTCCTTCATTCAGTTTCCAGTGCTTCATGATTTTCTAAGGTATCACAACTTTGTTCTCAACTATGTTACTCTAATTTTGTTGATTCAATTATTTTGATTGCAGTGGGGCTACATTAGTGTATAATTGGAGTAACACCATGGAAAATCAGGCTTCAGAATAATATTTCATTTAAGAGAGGACATTTTAAAAATGCAATGTAAAAATCATCAACTCCCACAAAATTTGATGACCCTGTTCCTATTCATCGCATGCTGAGCAGGATAAGGCCTTTTATCAACACAATAGTTCACAAAAACAATCAAGATGTCGGTTTAGTAAATTACGATTTTGTTCTTCATGTTAAAAATTCTTAGGGCAAATTTGAATGTACGAATAACGTGACCGTCATATTTCTTCCATTTAAGTTAATGGAGCTTTTATTTCAGTGGAATGAGAATGGTACTATTTATGTTTGTGATCTATTTATATATTAGTGGGTTTTCTTGTTAAAAAATACAAAGTTATAAGACTAACCTGGGAATTGTATTCACAACTAGGGGTGGGCTAACTGGTTTGGAAAAAAAGTAACAAGCCTGGAATTATTGGAAACATTATTTTGAAACTCCAAAAAAGGTAAGCTAGGCCCTGATTTTGCAGACTGAGTCACCTGTGTGGTTCCCTGTACTCATATAGAGCTGCAAAGAGTTCAGTTTGCAATGCTTCTGCAATTCATGACTTCTTCAGGTCAGGAAGAAGAAATTTCCAAATATCATGGTTTGAGGCAACTTTTGCATTATTATCCAGTCTAGCCCATGAAGCAATGAGATCACATGGGAGTACACAAGTTCTTCTGTTAGTTTATTAACAAAAAAGGTAAAAGATGATAGACAGGTTGCTAAATGTTTGGATATTTTCATGAACTGAGCCTTTAAAAAAAATAGCCAACAACCACCAGATTAATTTTAACAGCTAAGTTCTCAAGCTAAAGGCCTCTTAAACAATGAAGTTCCTGGAAAAACTTAAAAAAACAACAAATAATCTACCACCATCTTAAAGACTAACAAAAATGTAGATGTTATCATGAGCTTTCGTGGGCACAACCCACTTCTTCAGATGAATGGAGTTATTAAAAGTTCAGTTTTGAAAGAAATAGGGGGTTGGGAGTGCCCAGGCAAGTTAAAACGTTGCCTTCGAAACTAGACCTTTAATAACTCCATTCATCTGAAGAAGTGGGTTGCACCCACGAAAGCTCATGACACCATCTACATGTTTTGTTAGTCTTTAAGGTGCTGCAAGACTATTTGTTGGTTTTTAAGTTTTTCCAGGTATAGACTAACTCAGCTACTCCTCTGAAGCTTTTGAACAATGAATTTCCTGGCAGAATTCCACATCCGAGGTTTGCTTTGAAAAAAATATGCAGATGTAGAATTCTTAACTGCAAGCTCTTATCTGCTACCTGCAATGGCAGCAGTGTTCCTTGTAAGTGGTGTGCTTGCGGCCATCTGAGAGAGAGTCAAATGCTGCCTAGCTGACTAGCAGAGCACCCACAGCCACCTACAGCTGGCAGCATGTTTTTCTACTGGTGGTGCACATCCACACATGCCTTCGTGCACATAACAAAATTTGTTCCATGCATGGATGGAAAAAATTAGCATGAACACTGAATAGCAGCCCAGAAAAGCATTCAGAGGCATGATTAGCTAGTTACTTTCCATGGCAATATCAGCTTTTTAAATTCATTACAAGTTGTTTTATCTTTCTTTACATTTATGAGGGTTTTTGCAGCAGAGGATGATTCAGTCTCAATAATTTTTCATTTTAACTATTCTGGAAGTTTGGGAATCAGTCAAAACTATAAGCCATTTTAGAGCTGAATTAGCTGCAAATGCAAAAATGCCTTTGAAGGTTTTGTGCTGTTACATTCATATGAGTCTCACACGCTTAGATATTTATGTAGAAGTTCAATATTTAATTTAAAGGACAACTAAACTGAAATATAAGTTAAGTAGCTATTTCTTTGACAATACTAGTCAAAGTTTCTGGACTTCCTCAGGTAAAGTTTCTGAAAGGCATTATTGGTCCAGGGATCCTTCATTTTCCTGTATACCCAAATTAATTTAATTTTGCTTGACATAACCCACAGGACTACAGATTCTTCTTTATCTATCAAATGAAACTTTAACGCAGTCAGATTTAGGATTAAACCTATGTACTGTATAAACTCAAATGGCCAGAGGAACAAATGGAGGTAATCTACCAATGTTTGTAGCTTAGTACTGCTCCAGAATATTTAGAAAACGGATAAAGTAAAAATTAATCAAAACACTCACTCACTTTTTACGTGAAATATGTATTCAGTAGGTACAGTTTTACTTTTCCTAGTAAATGTTAAACTTAATTTGCAGAAGAAGTCTCTTACTAATGAGAGTGATGTTTGGCATTTCTTGATATTAGCTAATAGCATGAGCTAGTCTTTTCCATAGTTTATATATAGGATAGAGATGCCAGAAATTTATTTTTAGCTCAGATTTTGTCCCCAGTTCAGCAAAATTGTACTGAATTGTATAAGACAACTTCACTTATGTAAAGTTAAACAGAAAAACTGATGCATATATTAGGACACAGCTATGACTGCAAGTGCCTACATATTAAGGATGACTGAATCACTGTGTAATATTTAAGAATCTCCTCTTTTTTGAAGACTCATGGGTATGTCAAATCAAACTTGATCTGAGTCATCTAAAAGGTCTGAAATTTTGCATTTCTTTTTCATTTCCAGTTTCTCTCTGAGTTTAGAAATGGAATTGCTGTAGAATCCATAAGAAAGGCTTGTGAGGAATCCAGATCAATTTTGCAGACTTACAAGGGCCTAATATTTAAAACAACAGGAGCTGTATTCACAAAATGAATATGATAATCAATGACATGGGACAGCTACACAATAACTAATGTTCAGATAAGTATCTGAAAATTAGGATGCTTATCCAAACAAAATCCACTTGTTTAAATTTTTGAGGTTCACTCATCACATATTTTAGATAATTTTGTACAATGTATATATTTAGTTTTATATTAATGTTCTATTGATTAAAAGCCTCTCTTTAAAGTCCTATGAGTCAGATCTTTTTTTCTTACTACTTCTGTCTTACTCTAGGAAAAGGATAGTAGAATTTGGCCGTATGATCCAAAACTTTGCTAGTAAAAAAGAGAAGTTGCAGAACTTTCTTAGATGTTGCATTTAAACCTTACTTGTGGAAACAAGACTGTAAGTTGGGACAACATGGGATCTAATACCAGGACTATGAATTTGGTAGTCATTGTGACAAATGTACTTGCTTTGTTTTCAATGGAAGTTCTTGATAGAAATCTGACAGAGCATAAACATTCAATCTTTCACTGAGATACAACTTTCTTAATTCTTAGGAAATTTTGACTAAAAACTGAGCCAACTGAATAACAATGTATTTTTGTAAGAAACATTTTCACAAACACACTAGAGTTTCCAATGAAGCATTTGAGTTCCATCCTTCACATCTGATTTCCTCTCTAACACATGACTGCGGAAAATAATCTGAATTATTACTTTTGTTCTAGTGCCATTTTACTCAAAATATTTTATTCGGGGATTCAGATATAATTACTCACCTAATAAAAAGAACTATTAGGTTGTAAAGATCCCAACCCTTCCATGCTCTTTTAAAATTATGACCTACTCAAGCTTGAAATCAAAGGCAGAACTGAATGGAGTAATTCATCTGAAACTCTCTTATTGGGTTTTGTAGCCTCCTAACTGATAAATATGCAAATTAGTTCCCTTTTGGTGATTCAGCTGCATAAACAGGGATTAACTCTGAATGCAGTTGAAAATTCAGCAATAAAAAGTATTCACAAAATAATTTAGTCAATTCAAACACTTATAGTTATCAATAAACATTGTAATATGAAGTTAGACTTCTAGAAGAGAGGGAAAACACTGAATGGGTTCCACTAAGGACACTGCTATGGACTGATGCTAAATTATAGTAGAATGTTTCCCTCCGCCCCCATGTTTGAACAAGGAATAGCCTACTGCAATCAAGCTCCTGTAATTTGTTTACCAATTATGCATCACAGTTCCTTAGTTCATTCTCATTTTCTTGGGTTTGTTGCTTGTCTGTAAAAACTGCGCTGTGTCCATCTCTGCTAATGGATAGGTCTTATCTTCCTCTGTGCCTGCTCTAGTGTTACTTTCCAATTTCTGCTGCCTCCATTGAGTTAAAGAGAAGTCCTTGGTGACTGTATCACAGAATTCATGGAACTGAGCAGTCTCAAACAGGAGGCAGAGGAGAAAAGGTGTGGGAGGAATATCAGCCCATTTTCCTCATTGCTGCTGCGAAAGATGGCCATGAAGGCGCTTTCAAATGTCATCACAGTGCAGTGTGGCACAAAGGCCACCCAGATTTAGAACTGTTCTATTCCAAGCTTAAGCACATAATTACTGTGTGTCAGAGAAGATTGCATATCATATCCTCTTTTTGTAAGTATATGGCAGCTGGCAGTGTGCCGCTAATGCAGATTTTCTATGTTCCCGTTTTCTGTAACCAACTATAAAATGGTAACTATGGGAGGATTTCCAAATACTTGCAAAAATGGGTGGATTTTACAGCAACATGGTTTGTGCAGGATAAGTTATTTGAAATTACAAAAGAAATGGGAATTATTTGTCTTGTTTTGTGCTGTTGATAACACTTGCAATCCTTTGGTGCTATGTCGTGATTATTTGTTATGCATCCTCTGGTATCAAAAAGCATATATTAAAAAAAGAATGAATGTCCACACTGACAAATGGTGTATGTTTAAAAAATGCATCTGAATGCAGCAAAATTAGATTTTCACACAAAACTACACACCTCTAAGTCAAATGTGAGATAATCATGACACCTCAAATATTACAAAGGCTAGCAGTTCAAAATGAGCAATCGAGTGGCATCAGTGAGGCCTCTGCAGTAGTAGTTTCACTTATTTGCAAGGGCCAAATTTTGTTGAATGAATGTCAGTGAATAAAGGTGGGTTGCGTATGTGTGTAGTGTATATGAAATACTTGTATGCTGCAACGTTCCTGGATAATATAAAGTATCGATTCATCAACAGTTGTTAGAAAGCTGAGCCTGTAATAGCATTAAGTTGCTTCATTAGCCCCTCCAGACTGGCCATTTGCTCACTCAGATCATCCTGTTCATACACCTGCAAAAAACCACAAATCAACAGTCAATGTGAGTCAATAACCAAAAGCCTACTCTACAGGACGCAGGTGCCAAGCAGGGACAAAACCACTTGAAGCAAAGCATTAAAACACTTGTTCTCAGATTCATTACTTTTCTCAACTGAGACCCAATCACCTCCCTTCCCCCCTTCCAGTGCCATCAGCAATCTCCTCTCCTTTATATTTAATTGGTGAACTTGAGGATCAAACTCTATGATGCGGCCTAGAATACAAGTTTATGCCTGCCCGATGACAATGCTGCTTGCAATATTCCAAATCCTGGATTATTCCAGAGTGGACTGACTGAATGGATGGGAATACAGCCATGATGCACTGGAATTTAGTACAGAGACTGCTCCAAGGAGTCATAATGAAAGGCTTGATTCTGCCAGGAGCTGAGCGCTCTCAACTCCCAGGCTGCGTCTAGATTGGCATGATTTTGCTCAAATACTTTTAACGGAAAAGTTTTTCTGTTAAAAGTATTTGTGCAAGAGAACATCTATCCTGGTATGTGCCTTTACGCAAAAGATTTGCTTTTGTGCAAAAGCATCCATGCCAGTGTAGATGCTCTCCTGCACAAGAAAGCTCTGATGGCCATTTTAGCCATTGGGCTTTCTTGTGCAAGAAATTAACATTGCTGTCTACACCGGCCCTCTTGTGCAATCCCTGAGTGGGAGCGTCAGAGTATTTGTGCAAGAACCACTGATTTTGTACATTACAAATACTTGCGGCCAGTGTAGACAGGTGGCAAGATCATGCCAGTCTAGACGCAGCCCCACTGTAGTTAGTGAGCCTTAACTCTTATCATTGCAGTTAATGGGATCTGCAGGCAGCAGTGCCTTGCAGGAATTGTTCACTACCTCAGCAGGATTAGGGTTTGTGACAGAAGTGGGAGGTGGGTGTAGAGAGGACAGCCAACTGAGTACCTGTGATGACCAGCAACTGTATCTATAAGTAGGAACCACTGACCTCAAAAGTTATTGAGAAAGAGTAAAATGAATGATTTTCTGCTTTTGACTCACTGAGAGTGAACTCAAACACTAGTTATTTATGGGGACTTTTCAAAGTAAATGATTTGAAAGCTCTGTGGGATACCTGAAGCCTACAGGTCTGGACGGAGTTAAGAATCCAATACCATAATCGCACCTCTGAAGAAATAAACTTAAATAACTCCCACAGTCTACACTCTCCCGCCCCCAAAACTTTATCTGCCTAAAGAGCCTATTAACTCCTGTGCCATTATTTCCTGTAAGTGATCCCACACTTGCTGAGTCTGAAAAATGTCCCTCTTGGGAAATAAATTGTGCTGCTGTTATAAGATATTTAGAGCTGAAATTGCATTTCATGTTACCAAATGTTCTGTGCTAAATTGCTCTGTATGTTGGTAATTTTACCAAAGAAGTCATTTTCATGTATTTGCCCCCAATACAAGACTCCATGCCTCTTATCTCTTCTAGGTGGTAGAGCCAGTAGGATTTGGAAGAAGTTCAAAGATCTAGTAAGTCTGCAGTAATCCACAGGACTGCTCTGTGACCACCTTGCTCAGTAATGGATTTTACGCACTGGCACGCTGGCTCAGTGCTACACTTCATTCCAAGTACTATTTGTTTCAGTCTCATTATTGCTGTAGAGCTAGACTCTGAAAGTGAAAGTCCAAGTGATTGTGAGAATCAGCGGGATAAATCCACAGCAAGGGGAGTAAATGCTACTTTGAAAAGTCACTTTTTTAGTTTGTCGGGGATATTTATCTATCTTATCTGCTTTGGAATGAGCTTTGAGATCTGTTGATAAATGTTCTATGATATGAGTTCTGCAACTAGATCTGCAGTTAGAAGAGTGAGTGCTGTGCATTATTATTCCCATTACAAAATGCCACTGGTAGCATAAACCTCACTAGGGGGGAAAAAAAGCCTTCTGTGTTAGGAAAGGGTCAAGTAACGAAAACCACACTTTGACTACCTTTACTCTAATATAATGTGAGAAGAATTCTCTCATAGCAACACAACATTGCTTATGATACTAACAACAATAAAAGGACACAGCATTTAACTGTCCTATATTTGTATGGGCAGCAGACCAAAAACCCACTATATGCATGTCAAAAACAGATTTGTTGCTTTTTCCCATCCCCGAGGTTGCAAACATAAGAGGATTAGGTAACAAGATGCCAGATGAACCTGCTTCATGATGCACATAGTAAGCCACTCTCACAGTCAAGAAAATTAAAACATTGTATAGAACAATCTGCCTCCCTTATTTTGTTTCTTCTTTTTCTTTTGCTTTCCCTGCACCTTTTCTATGATACTGTATCTAAGACTCTTAATAGAAGTTAATGGGATTGTTCTAAATTTCCTATAAATATTTTCCCTCAGATCCTCTCTCTTCATCTTGCCTATCCCTTTCACATTATTTTTTCTCTCCATTGTCTGGTATCTCTTCATGTCTTCAGTATCTTCATTGTCTGTATATAAAAAAGTTTTTCCTGCCAGACAACAGAAGTTCCTGCTGGACAACAGAATGATATCATCATGTCATCATCATCAAAAGGCAAAGCAAAAACAGCCAGAAAGTGTGGGGTCAGTGAGCAGAGGGCACACCCCCTAGTTACTTTATAATGTTTTATTCCTTAACTTATTTTTTCCTGACATCGGTTTTCTCATTCACTCTCTCGCATCAGTACCTTGTTCCTTCTGGATCTCATGCTTGACAACTAGAATTGTTTTGGTCTTTCAACCAGTACAAAAGAGACCATGTAGTCTCAGAGGGGTAGCCATGTTAGTCCATATTTGCAAAACTAACAAGGCCTCCAGTGACATGTTAGAGACTCACAGCCACAGGACTCCTTGTTTTTTTAATATGAAGTATAGGTACAACAGGTTATTTGTCCATCTGTATCAGACCCAGACCCGGATTTAAAGACTGCTGAAATCAATGGAAATCACTTTAGCAGACTTTGGATTGGACCTGTTGTTCCCTAATTGCTATTCACGGGCATATGCATCACATAGGCAGAAATTAAGCTGTTTAACTAAAATGATTGCACAGAGTATGCTCCGGCCCTTCATTTAAAGGTAATATTATTTGTGACAAGACTCTTTTTGTTAAGATTCTTCTTACATTAGCTGGATCCTCTGTCTGTTTGTTGCTTTCTTCTGAAACTTCTGGGGCTGTTGGCACCGAGACTGGAAGCAGAGGGGATCGCGCTTTTCCCGCTAATCCAAGTGATGCTGTTTTCACCTGAGCCTTGGGAAGGTTAGGCCCTGAAAAAAGAAATAAGTCACAATAATAAGGTATGAATAATCTGTATAGGGGAACAATGAGGTTTAAGCCATCTATGCAAAATGCACTTGATATAACTGGTTAAAATTGGCTTTATATTTTCAACCCTAAATACAGATAATCTTTTCCAAATGTTCTTATGTTGCTTCTTCCTGAAGGGGCTCGAATTCCAGTTGGAACACTCTGGATGAAACTCTGCCAATTAGATTTCACTGTGAGCAAGCTCTAAATCCTATTGCTGCCACATTCAGAATGTCAAGTGTTTTGGAACATCTATGTCATTCAGATGGCAGCTGTTTTTGCCACGAGGCCAGACCACTGTGGGCTTGTCTCCCAAAAATAGGAGTTAAAATCATGCCCAGTCCTAACACTAAACTACAGTACACGGAGGTGGTGGGAGTAATGGTTGCTGCAGTGTTCACACTGCCTGTCATCTAATGAGACATTATAATGAGGCTCCCAGTGGTTGTTCTGGTGGAAATTAAAGATCCTCTGTCATGTTTTATCTTTTAAAACAACATGTAATAAAACTACCGTCCTGGCCAATGTATCATCTCTAACTACTCATGGCTATGTGTAAGCTATTGCTGATCACATAATGCAATGAGTATATGACTGATTTTAAAGACACTGGGATAGTATGAAAAGGTAAGGTGCTATAGCAAACAAAACACACAGTATTAATTAAAGAAAATGTGCACATATAAAAAACGCATGCTATTAGAGGTGAAGTTTTTAAAGGAGCAAGCATCAGCCTAACTCTGCTCCCACTGATGCAGGGCCAGCCCACAACATTTTGGCACCTGAGGTGGGGAGCTCAAATGAGACCCCCCCATGCCCTCTCACTTGGGCCAAAACTATGAAAGGTCTCAATTCTGCCTTCTTCTTATTCTACTCCTCTCATGGTACTGCTCTGCTACCTCAATATGCACCAGCAGCAGACACAATTTTCTACACTCTGGGTCCTACTGGCACCCCCCCACACAGTCTGGCTCCTGAGGCAGCTGCCTCAGTTTGCCTCATGGGAAGACCAGCCCTGAACTGATGTCACTAATGTGTAAACCCAACTCAATCCCCTGCATCTTTGAATATCCCTTAATCTGAATCTATTCCGCCTTGCCTCTATGAACACTTAACCACTGCAAGGCATGTTTGTGCTCTACAGTAAATTTTAGGTTGAGATGCCCAGGTCACTAGCATTCTCCAGCTTGAAATTTTTCTTGGGGTGTGTCTAGACTACATGCCTCCTTCGACGGAGGCATGTAGATTAGCCAGATCGGGAGAGGGGAAAGAAGACGCG